TGGTGCGCACGGGTGTATAAGTCACCGTGACTAACCTCTCCACCATCCTGTCGGGTCGGGGTGGGGGCTCCTGGGGTGGGAGATTCCACCTTTTAAAGATCAATGGTTCATCAAAGAGCACAACATTATTGCAAACTATTCCTAAATAAACCTGAAACGGGCAAGTTTAGGCCTAAAACGACCGGAATCGAAACCCTGCATATCAAAAGAACTCCAAAAATCCAAACATTCAAATCAAATCTACTCGAACTAAAACAAACACAAGTGATACTAAAGAAAAAATAATACTTAAATAAAATCTTTCTATAAATCTCTTCCTAGTATGGAGGTGATTCCGGAGGAGGACGAGCTATTACAATATGAGTGGATACCAACTCCACCACCGTCAAAATGGTCGACCAAGACTTCACGATCCCGCCTCGATACAATATCCCAGCCGCACCTCCCAGCTTCACGACCAAGACTTTATGTTTCAAAGTCTTGTCAAGGATAAATTTATGAAAACCGTTGTACTCCCTCCGGTTCTGAAAGATCTTTACACTTTGAATTCACAAATATTAAAGAGTTTGACACTGTTTAACACTGTTTGGTATTGTTTGGCACTGTTTGATGTAGATTTATAAGGCAAATAACAAGTGTAAAGATAATTTTGGTACTGCCAAAAATGGAAAATGAAAAGATCTTTCAGAAACAACAGAGGGAATATTTGTTTTTTGCTTATTTAGCAAATTTTCATTATATTATTACGTATCATTTAAATGCTCCCTCCTAGGCTCATAGCCCAACATGAACTCCACTATCCAGTATCCATCGCTGAACGTACGGTGTCAGCCTAAATAGATAGTATATAAAATGGGACAAATCAGTATTGGACACGCAAATTTCTAGTTCAATGTACGTACGCTTGATCCTATGCTTAAAATTGTTTGTACTAGATTTCTCCAATAAAAATTCAGAAATTATCAGCCTTCAATTGATGAATAAATTTAAATTAGATTGGTTTTCGAGAAACCAATATACATGTAGTTGATCATATAAACTCGATCAGATTTGAAATTTATAAAAACACATTTGGTAGATATTGATCATATATTATATGATATGACTCCGTATATGATATATGACATACTATCCTCGTTCCGTTTTAATCGCAACAAGTTGAATTTTACGTTATTCACATGTTATACTTTGACTACATTTTACGCTATTATTTTACGAAAATTATTTTTTTAAAAAAAATATTATCCAATTCATCTCATTACAAATTTTCAAAATCTGATTTTTAATATCTTTTTTACTAATAAAATTAAGATATAATTACGGTCAAAGACGTGACAAAGGTTAAATATTGACCATGCCGTTAATTTCCTAGTATTGCAAAGTTAATCATGATGTATTTGCAACTTTTAACAAACAAGATTCTCATGCACTACGCCTCACGGTAATTGGTTCACTTTCCGTCAGCATGCAAAATTGGTGCACCAATTTTGATTTTTGGGAAAAGTACGTATTATGTTGTTGCCATAGCTTTGTAACTTTGTTTCACTTTAATTAAACACTCGCTGTTTAACTTTAATTAAGCGTGTTAATAAACTTTCATTATTACTCACTACTATTTAATCTACTAGGTCGATCATTACTTTGTATACCTCAAACTCGTGTGATGCCCCAATTGAATTGTACTCAATAAGCAGCTAGAAACATAATTAAATGTCATGAGAGTATTGATCTTTACGGATTGAAGTAGGGAAAATTCCTCCAATATAACTAAAGTATAGTCAATTTATGATTCCATTTGTTTTTAGTCATTGATATGATTGAAAACCAGGAAAAGTCCAGTCATATGAAAGAGGATTGATGGACGGAAATAACCTTGTCAGAAAAATGAGCATTTTGCACTGATTTCATTTATTAATTAAATAAACAACACATTTCATTGTGCTACTCTTGTTTTTGTCGGCATTAAATTACTCTACTTTTCGTCGGAATCACTGCATTCTGTCAGCGTTACTTTTCTTCTCACCTACGTTATTGACCTATGATGACGTTAATTCCCTTCATGCTGGTGTTACTACTCACTATATATCATTGGGAAATTCTATTCATAACCCTCCTTTTATTAGTTACACACTTGTTTTCAGACTAAACTTTAATTCCTATTATACCCTAACAGCTTAAACGCTATTTTATTTCTTACTTTCCGTCTGAATTTTTGTTTGGAATTCATTAGCCAGTACACAGAGCCACATATCCTAACGACACACAGATGATATCTTAAATCCTCAAATCAGATTTAAGATATTCAAATTGAATCCGGAATCCTAAAATCTTCCATTGGATTTCAACAAAATTTTCAATTCTCAAGCCCTAATTGTGAATATGTGATGCTTTGATACATGGGAATCTCAATGCCCTAAGCTTCTGTATACCTCGACAGGTGAATTTGACTTCGACGCAACATGGTATGGCAACATACAATACTTGCTTAACATCTCCGCCATCGGAGTTTAAGATGAGAAAAAGATGAGAAAAGGAGTTTAAGAAGCAAATTGTGACACCATTTGCTACCTTCAATTCGGTGAAAACTGTTAGAAAATAAAAGAGGTTTTTTGTATGAATATGTTAAGTTATTTTAGTGAGGTGTAGAGTAAATGAGGTGTTTTAGAGTAGAGTAAATGAGGTGTTTTAGAGTAGAGCTCTTTTCTCTAGAAAACTTGTATTGTATTGATGTTTCTTGGTTTGCTTGGTGAGCAAATGAGTACGAGGAGTCTTATTTATATGAGCTAGAGGATCATTCTAGATCCTTATCAAATGCTAGAATCTAGAGCATTCTATAACTATGTCTAACTACTCTAGATTTTACATAAGAACTTTCTAGTAGAGAATTCTCTAGAACATTTTTAGATATAGTTTTCTACAACATTTCTAGCCTTTTCTACATATAAAATTCTAGATAAATGCATCACTATTTAATACTCCTTGATGCATTTTTCAGTAACTCCAAGCATTCTTCGCAGAAACTGAAATTTGTCTCTTGGTAGGGCCTTCATGAAAATATCAGTAAATTGTTCTTCTGTTGGACAATACCTCACCTCAATATGCCCTTTTTCTTGGACATCTCTCAAGAAGTGATATTTGATATCGATGTGCTTAATGCGATTGTGTTGAATTGGACTTTTAGCCATCGCAATAGCAGTCTTGTTATCGCAATAGATCTCTGTCGCGGAGCTCCCATATCTTCTAATATTCTTTTAAGCCATATAGCTTGGAAAGCTGCCCCGGCTACTGCAACATACTCGGTTTCTGCCGATGATAGTGCGACTGAATCTTGCTTCTTTGATCCCCATGAAAAAAATCTTGAACCAAGCGTAAATGCGTAACTAGAGGTACTTTTCATGTCATCTTGAGATCCAGCCTAATCATTGTCGCTATATCCAGTTAGTAGTGAGTCAGGGCTTGTTTTGTACCAAATACCATAGCTAATTGTCCCTTGTAGGTACCTAATGAGTCTCTTTGCCGCTCCATAGTGAGTCTCAGTTGGACTTTCCATGAACCTCGAGAGCAAGCTTGTAAGATACATTATGTCTGGTCTTGTAGCCGTTAAGTAAAGTAGACTCCCAATAAAACATCGGTAATTGGTAGTGTCTGTCTGCTTTGATCCATCTTCTTTCTTCAATTTCTCATTAGGAACCAATGGAGTAACGACGGCTTTAAAGTCTTGCATTTTGAACTTCTTTAGCATGTCCTTAATATATGTTTCTTGAGATAAGAAGATGCTTTCTTCTTCTTGACTTATCTCCATGCCAAGGAAGTAGTGCATTAGTCTCAAGTCACTCATCTAAAAGGTGTTCATCATGTCTCTCTTAAATTCTTCAATTAATTTTGAATTATTTCCCGTGATAATTAAATCTTCAGCATATAGAGAGACGATGAGAATGTCAAATTTACCTTGGGAATTAATGTATACCGTAGCCTCGTTTTTTGTCCTCCTGAATCCTTGACGGGTAAAGTATCCACCAATCTTGCTATACCACACTCGTGGAGCTTGTTTGAGCCCGTAAAGAGCTTTCTTTAGACGAAGAACTTTTCATTCTTCTTTGATGAATCCTTCTGATTGCTTCACACACACTTCTTCTCTTAGTTCTCCATTTAGAAAGGCTAACTTGAGGCCTAGTTGATAAATTTTCCATTTCTTCTGAGCTGCAAGAGCTATGAGTCTTCTTATTGTGTCCATCCGGGCTACTGATGCAAACATCTCCATGTAGTCAACTCCCGATATTTAAGCATACCCCTTTGCAACCAGCCTTGCCTTATGCTATTGCGAGACGATGAGAATGTCAGATTTACCTTGGGAATTGATATATAGCGTAGCGTCGTTTTTTCTCCTCTTGAACCCTTGACGGGTAAAGTATCCATCAATATTGCTATACCACACTCGTTGAGCTTGTTTGAACCCTCGATGATTAGCAACAACATCATTTACCGGTGGCGGAGGTGGCTGACAGCTGCACTTTAGTGAAGGCGGCAACAGGGATGGAGATTACACTGGCGACTGGCGATGATGGTGTCTGGGGGTGACGGCCGGCGGCGATGGCGGTTGGTGCATGTCATGAATGGTAAGGTGGTGACTTGTGGTGGTCTTCGTAAGAAATTCTATTGTTTTTTGGGAGGGAAGACTGTCCAATTCAACTTGTATCTCATTAAGGGTACATTTGTCAACCCATTTATTTTTACTCCTATCAAATCATACGAAACTTTGGATTCCTAGTTTTGCATGTTTGTTATGTTTCACTCGTAGACAAGGAATTATCTCTAAACTTTTTTGTACACACCACCATTATACACACGTTTATGAGCAGTTTTTTTTTTGTCTATAAATAGTCTTTCATCCATAACCCTCCTTAAGGAATGAAACACAATCAAGGTATTTCTGATGCATACAAAGTTTGGAAAGAGAAAATTGTCTAGATGACATACAATCTGTTATCATAATGGATCACATTTTCCGCAACAAAAATAATTTACGCGTGTACACGGACGGCATATACATGAAGGAGGTTTGAACTTTTATGTAGAATGCAACTCCAATGAAAATGCTGCATTGATATATACATTACAAAATTGATGGATGAACTTATATGACCTAATAATATTAATCATAAGGAAAACTTTACAAGTGATATTCCCCTCGAACTTTCAAATTATTATTTTTAATTTCACTTTGGTGTTGCAAGAAAAAATCGTTATAAGTACTGTAATGAATACAAATGAAAACAAATAAATTCTGAAAAATCTCAACGACTTCGTGGCATGGACATGGAAGCAAGACCCCTAGAAAAATCAGACACCGCCGCCGCCGGGTGGAAGCCCAAGCATCCCAAGAGTCCTTGCTTGTAGGGCAAGTAAGTCTTCCTTTTCATCTCCTCCGACGCCGCCCGGTTCATAGTGTAGTGCAGCTCATGAGCCGACACCGGTCCTCTCCGCCGCGACGACGACGACCCCACGCTCTCCGTCGACCGGAAACTCGAGTTCTTCACATCTTCTTGATGGTTCTTCTTTAGCATTGCATATCTGGTCTCCATCATCATCTTTTTGCTGCTCGCCCGCCCCTCCGACGCGCTCCGGAACAGTAAAAGATCTTTCAGCCTCCATTTTCTGTACCACGTCGCAATCGACGACGACGACGGTGAACAGGGGTTGTTGTCTGTCTCAATTATTTCGTTTCTGTCGATTAGCAAATTCGTTGCGCGAAATGGGGACAAAGATCTTGTCTTTTTCCGGCGAGAATTCCAACCGGCGGCTGTCGGATTTCCGCGTCTTTCTCTTCCTCGCCGTTGGATTGATGGGTCTTCGTCGTCTTCGCCTTTCCTGCTCTGTTCCAGAGCGGCGGAGAAGGAATCGGAATCTTTCCTCCGGTGACGTGGAGAAAACGCGTCCTTAACCCTCCACTTCGGAGATCGCGGAGATTTCGGGGATTCTTTCTCCTTCCCCTCGTACAGAACCCTCGGCGGCGGTTTCAAAGGCTTGATCTTTCCGCCGTCGAAGAGCTCATCGGCGGCAGAGATGTGGGTCATCTCCAACTGCCCACTGAAATCAAAAGCGAAATCACCGCTGGAATCCTCTTTGGGTTTCCGAGGTCCGGCCTCCTCTTCCCAATCGAACGGAACTCTACCGCCGGCCCCAATTTCGGCGGCGACGGATACTTCAGTGGCGCTGTAAAAGAAAGTCCCAAAACCCTTTGGACTAGAAGGTGCACTGATGAAATTAAATTCCGACGGCGGTGATGGCATCATCACTTCCATTTCTACTGACAAATTGCAATTTTACTGTCAGAGAAGGAAGAGGAAAAGGAAAGTATAGTCCAGAAAAACAGGAAACAGAAGGGAAGGAGACGAAGTGAACAGAGCAAATTGCAGATTTCGGTGCTTATATTTATATTGATTTGACTTGGTTGACTTCGAACTTTCAACTCATACTGTAGTTTGCCAAGTACGGAGTATATACCCTAACGTCAATTTGGTTGAAAGGGCTCTCCTCGTGATTTTTACCGTTGGATTTAAAGCTTTTGTTCGGAGCTTTTACTGTTAACTTTTTGAATTTAAATTAAAGATATACGATATGGTCGATATTAATTAGTTTAATGTAACCACGTCAATTAATTAGGAATAAGATTTTGAAAAAAGTTTTTTTTGGAAATAAAAGAGGCGTCCTTTTATATTAATATCAAGAAATCATACAAGACAACCACTAGACAGTTATGACAGAGCCGATAGTAATCTCTGGAAATAGACATAAAATCAACCACCTCATATAAACCAATCAGAATCGCTAGACACAATAAGTAAATTTAAGCTTAAAACAATCGAAACTGAAATATCGTCTATCAAAAGTATTTCATAAGTCCAAATATCCAAAACAAACTTACTCGAAGTAAAATAAAAAAGGAAAAGGGGCAAATAAGCCCTCGAATTAACAGAAAAAGTGCAAATCACTCTTTTATAGGAGGCTCTGTCCGGCCGTCGCCATATGGGGCGGTTAACGGTGAAATTTTTTGATGATTTTTTTTTAGCATATCCTGCATTAAATCTAGTTTACGCATACCAAATTTCAGCTAAAAATGCAATCGGGAAGGCAGTCAAATAAATGTTTGAAGATAACTGCGCAGTTCAACAGCGTAGTATATTTCAGAAAATCATTTGACTGCCTTCCCGATTGAATTTTTAGATGAAATTTGGTATGGGTAAACTAGACTTAATGAATAAGATTTACAAAAGAAATCATCAAAAAATTACACCAGGAACCTTCCCAAATGGCGACGGCTGGACAGAGTCTCATATAAAAGGGGTGATTTGCATTTTTTCGGTTAGTTCGAGGGCTTATTTGCACCTTTTCCCAGGAAAATAAGTACTACTAAAGGAAAAAATAAAATTGAAATAAAGTCTCTCCTACCGTTCCCCCTCCCCATTCTCTTCTCTTCTTCTCTCCTTTTTGTGTCATTTTCATCAATTTTGTCTCCATCATATTCATTTATCCCATTTTCCATTTTCATCATCGTGTGTCATCTTTAATCCCTTCATCCAAGTCCGGTCTTAGATGGATCTAGAACAATACAGATAGAGTACGCCTTATAGAAAGTCATGTTTAATTTTCTTATAAAAACTACTCTCTCCGGTTCTTATTAAAGTTCTCACTTTCTTTATAGGGATGTCCCTTATTTAAGTTCACACTTCCATTGTAGGAAACAAAACAGTGCAAAACAGTGCCAAACAGTGTCAAACAGTGTCCAAACAGTGCAAACAGTGCACTCCACAATAAAGTCAAATTTATTTTCTTAATCTGTGTGAAGTCAAACTTGGAACTTTAATAGAAACCGGAGGAAGTATAATTAAAATTGATAGAATATATGGGCTCGGATCCACGATCTACACACTCTTGGACATACAAACGGTCTAAGCCCATGTTACTATTGGGGGTCCGCACGGTCACCTCGGCAGAGAGATGACAAAGTAGAATAAGCAGTAGAAGGGAAGCATGGAAACTGAAAGAAAGGGTGTCATTGTCTTCTTAGCTGCTTTGGCTTCGGTTGAGTGGAGGATAAAACTGCTTTACAAGTCAGCTGAAATCTTACGGGAGACGATGAGTATATAATGGAGAATGATTACTCATATTAAAGGCTTTCAAATCTATCAATATGAATGATGTTTCAATTCCACGAGTTTTATAAAAAAAAACTAGTATAGTATCTGTGCATACGCACAGGAAAGAACAGTTAGTGCATATATTTTTATTCATGATCTAATTACAAATTAATATATAAATATTTTCCGCTTAATAATTGGCAAGATTATCTTCTTATATTAGAAAAGCACCACATATGAGAGAGAACTCACTCGCTCAATTGTTAGCTTATATATCTACTTATACTTAAAAGCAGTACATATGAGAGAGAAAATTTTCTTACTCAATTGTTATTTCCGATACATTAATAAATTAATGTAGTCAAAGTAGAGTATGCGACTATTATAACACTCTATATTGTTATTAATTTGTTCATATGTTAGAAATCATTTATTTATTTATTTAATGCTGAATAAGTTGTGTCGAGGTTTGATGAAACTATTCTTTTCTTATATATAGATAGATAAATAGTTGAATTTATTGAATCACATATATTGGATATCTTCTTCATTTGGAATGTTATTTAGGTCATTTTGATAACACTGAAATTGCTTGAATCTACCGAAGTTGATGAAGTTTTTGCTCAATTTCCTTAATTACGAAGAAATTGTATTTTAAAATATGTCACAAATATTTATTTCAGAAGTTTTTTCTTAGTGTCACTTTGATATATTAGGAATTTTTATTTATTTAATACGGAATGCTATGTATCGAGGTCGAAAAATAGAAAGGTTGTCTAATAAATCTTTAGTTTTTTTTATTTTTCATGTACAATATTGGTGTCATACGAAAGATTGTAAAAAATTATGAATTTTAAAATTTTTTTTGTAAAAATTATAGAAAAATTGAAAATGATATTATTTTACAAATGCTTAGCTTCAATTATTTTCAGTATAAGTCCTTGAGGTTGCCACATGACATTTGTAGAGTAAAGGAGAGAATTGTGGGGAAAAGAGCACATAGGCATTAAAGAGGGTAAAATGGTCTTTGGAAGAGCTATTTATTTTCTTATATATAAATAGATTTAATACACCAAAACTTTTATTCATTTTTAAAAGTCTTTATTGAATACCTCTAAACTTTGGTGGATTTGTTATTGACTTTCTAAAATCCTAATTGAATACACATAGATTTGTATGGACTTTTAAAAATTAATAATCCGTATTCTGGTGGAAGATATGATGAGTCCTCCCTCTGGTGGGATGATGCATTTTCACTCGGTGTGAACATGTTAGTATTTGGATCAAAAAATAATCCATCAATGCCACCAATTTCACCTGATTCATCATCTACTCCTAACACTGTAGCGTCTGTATTTTCACCAAGACCAATTGCACCCATCCCAGTTGCAGTTCCATTCCCCACTGCGATTCTCAGATCCTCATAGTCCGGACAAGTTTCTGACCGAAGGTGTGCATGTTCTTTATGTGACTGATATAAAAAAATATAAAGTTTGGAACTTTCAACCATTAGCTGAAGCAAGACATTACTCTCTTCTATGGTCCAAGTTTTATAATCCTTTTTTTTGGCATTACCTTGTGAATCACCCATCTATAAGACATGCAAAACCAATCACACAAACAATAAACACTAACTCATACCCCTTGATCTTTTCAAAGATAAACTATATTAAGTTTTTGAACACATATTATATCGCCTACAAACTTAACTACAACACACTTATACATACAGAGGTAAAAACATAAAAAATGAACAAGTGTCTACAAACTTAAGTGCAGCACATTATACGTATCACCTCTTCCTTGTTTATTAGTTTTAAACAAGGAACAATCCATTATTGGCACATGAATCATTACACATTGGATTTTTCCTACGGTTAAAATGTGTCCTTGACATGTTGCCACTTCACTGGTCAACAACTATGCTCATTTAAAAAAGAAAGACGAAAGTGGGGACTGGGGAGAGCTACTAGTCCAAGAAAATCGTATATACTCATTTTTTTATATAATTTCTATATCATAGAACTATCTTTTATAAGAACACTTATATGTTAAGGCAGAAATCCAAGTTTATATACCATCTTGATAAAATATAAAAGATGTTAATCTGTGTACAAGGCAGAAATCCAAGTTCATTCCTTTCTCTTAATTAATGCTGTAAACTTATAATAGTTGCTCAAAATCTAAATTAGATTAGATGCAAGGGAAAGAAAAGTAAAGTTTAAAGCCCTCCCAGGTTCTTGATTGCTGTTGCGGCTGCTTGCATAGGAAAAGGAAGAAACCTGCTCTGCTGCTAATTGACCAAAAACGAAAGAAAAAACTCATACCTACGGCTGCTATTGTCTAAAGAAGAGGCAACTCCAATTACTCTTCATTGAAAACAAACGTATTAGTTGGATAAAGTGTTATGCTTTAACAAATACTAGATGAATAAAATTGCCTAGAAGTTTGAAACTGTTTGCAGATTAACAAGAAACATACAAGTGTTATGAAAATTAGCCACAACACTAACAAGAAACATGGTGCGGCTAATTGTAATTGGAACATTTATGGCTAAGTGTTTCAAACTCTCTTTTTCTCGCTTTAACAATTAGCCGCAACACTAACAAGAAACATACAAGTGTTATGATTTAACAAATACGTAACCTCTATATACTCTGATTTCTAAAGCAAAAAGAAGTTACCTAGAAGTTTGAAACGGTTTGAAACATAGTGGAATTCTACTCCGTACAAAAATAACAACGAACAAATATGGATAAGCAATTCAGAAAAGAGTAACTTACCTGGAGTTTTTCTTCTTGATGAAACGGTTGTTCTTGGCGAGGCGAGCAAGAGGAGAAGACCCAAGGAGAAAGTCTGCGTGAAATCTCTTGGGAAAGCACGAGACAATCGATGAGAAGGACTATATATACGATTAGGTCTAAAGTCCAGGAAAATCCATTATTTCGTAATTCCATAAGATTTGTTAATATTTTGAATACACCCGTACTTTTATTGACTTTTAGAAATCCTAATTGAATACACCCGTACTTTTATGGACTTTTAAAAGTCCTAATTGAATACATCTAGATTTCTAAAATCCATAGACTTCTAAAATTTTGACACGAAATCCCAATACAATACACCCCCCTTAAACTTTTGAATTCCATGGACTTCTAAAAATTTACCACTAATTTCATATACAATACACCCCTCTCAAATAACATAGAGGATGTACTATAATAGGTTATTGTCAAATGACATTTCAAGTGACATGATTGTCAT